AAAGTCATCGTTTCTAAAGAAGTTTTATCATAATAGTTTAAACATATTTCACAAATGTAAAAAAATTTACACTAATTCAGACATTAACGAATTTCTCTGTTTTAATTTTTGGTATGAATTAAAATTTCATTAAGTTAACCATTTATTTCTTATGAGTTTTTATTGATGAAACACTGTGTTAAGTTAAAAAATTTTATTAAGTGATTTATATATATATATATATATATATATATATATATATATATATATATATATATATATATATATATATATATATATATATGTATATATATATATATATATATATATATATATATATATTATATATGTATATATATATATACATATATATATATATATATATATATATATATATATATATATATATATATATATATATATATATATATATATATATATATATATATATATATATATATATATATATATATATATATATATATATATATATTAGTGCTTGAATATATCTTTGTAAGAGTGCTCGATGAATAAAAGTAAATTAAAACGATTTAAATTATAACAGAACTACATATTTTTTACAACTATAAGTTTTATGCTAAATGCAATCATCATCAGGTGTAAATATGGCATATATACACCTGATGATTGCATTTAGCATGAAACTTTTAGTTAAAAAAAAAAATGAAATTTTATTTATAATATATATATATATATATATATATATATATATATATATATATATATATATATATATATATATATATATATATATATATATATATATATATATATATATATGTTCAAAAATAGTTTGTTTTTCTAATTTTAAGATTTTGAAAATATATACACTATATATACACCTGAAAATATATACACCTGAAAATATATACACCTGAAGATATATACACCTGAAAATATATACACCTGATGATTGCATTTAGCATGAAACTTTTAGTTAAAAAAAAAAATGAAATTTTATTTATAATATATATATATATATATATATATATAATATATATATATATATATATATATATATATATATATATATATATATATATATATATATATATATATATATATATATATATATGTTCAAAAATAGTTTGTTTTTCTAATTTTAAGATTTTGAAAAAAATATTTTATGCGTTTTGTTAGACTTTTCTAAGATAAAGTATTACAATCATTTCCATAAATATATGTTTAACTTTAATTTAAGCAATATTCTGAATATATTTGGTATAAGCTTTGATTTTCTATGAATACGAATAAAATTGAGTCACAAGTATGATTATTTATTGAATTTTTTTTTTGAAGATTATCAAGTTTAATTTCTAATATTTAAATAAAAATCACTGGTGCAGTTTTAAAGTAAGGCCTTTTTTTGTATGCGTTGAAGTGCATAAGGGTCTGCGGAGTTTCAAATAGTATAAGAAAAACGTAGTTTTTACAACTAATGACAGTACTTATGTGAATAACATCTTTTTTCAGAAGATAGTTCTAGATATCTAAGATTTGCATATAATCAGGTTGATTTAACGGTGAACAATATTATAAGTTGTTTTGTTACCACCAAAGTCATTGTTAAATTCACTATTACTTTGACATTATATTATGACATCTGTGAAGCTCATTTACCCGTAGCAGTAAGTGACAGCATTCGATGTTGGGAATATGGTTACGTTTAAAAACTTGTTTAGTTACTGTATATTATGCAGGAACTAAATTCCTAAATGCTGCGTGATACCGGCAACTTAGTTTATGTATAATAATGGAAAGCTATTTACTGGAAAACTATATAATACTTGCAAAATATTAATCAAATAACTGTATATGTAGATTTTAAAAAAATATATATATAACCTTTTAACAAAATGACTGCATTTAAAAAAAAAAAGTATTTTGTTTATGAAATATAAAGTGTTTACAGATATTAATTTTAAACAAAATTTTGTTGCAATTAGAGCTATTAATGTTAAAAAATTGTAGCACAATAAAATATCTTGATGAGAATTTAACTTTTTAATTAATCTCCATGTTGCATCAAACGAAAACTAACTTTTTTTTAATTATAAAAAGTAATAATACTGCCATCTAAGCGACCTTTTGATTCAAATTAACAGTTTTAAATTTTATTTATACGACCTTATGGTTAACTTTCCTAAAGACATAACATACTTTTTTACCAGTCCTGAGCAATTTAAAGACTTTTTTAAAGCTGGAAATAGAAGTGTAAGGAATTAAAAGGAAGGAAGATTTGATCTACGATTGACCAAAAACTTCTGAAAGTGATAGGGTTTAGAAAAAGACCGTCAATAGAAACAAAATAATAATTACTCAGAAATGTGCGCATCTTTGAAGAATAGGAATTAAAAAACTTTAAAAAAAATAAATCCATATTTTAGCCTTTGACTGTCTATAATGGGAAATATTAATTAGTTAAAGAATTGATTTTAAAGAGAAAACAACATTTATTTTAATTAAATGGAAAAAAGTAAAAATCATTGTTGGTATGTTTAAATCTTTTCAAAAAAGAAGCTAAAAACACATTTTTAGAAAGATGATATTTTTATAAGGGGTCGTCCATAAAGTACGTACGCTCGGAGAGAAAGAGGGGGTGTACAAATGGCGTTTCTTAGATAAGGGGACAGTAGGTCAATTATAAAAGTATGGAGGCACTAAATTAAAAAAATACCATAAAATATTGGGTTGGAAGAATAAACGCGTAGATACTATTAGGGAGGTAGAGAGTAATCAAAAAAGTGCATGGCAACTTGCGGAAAGGGGATAGCGAAAAAAATGCGTACGTACTTTATGGACGACCCCCAATGCCTTATTTACCCTATGTTTTGGATGTTACTTGAGTAAACACTAAATTGTTTACTTCATACCTAATATTGTAAGGTGTTACCAATATAAATTAATATTAGGAATTGTCTTAAATTAATTATATTTCTTTAATTGTTTAGGACAATACACAGTAATATTTTTTAGTTAAATAAAGCTAATAGGTCATTTATACAATTTGCTTGACTAAATTTTATCAGTTTACGGGTAGAGGTGAATAATTATATACACGTACACTATTGTTTTAAGTCAATAAAAACCTGTTGACATTTTAAAATTTTAAATAGTAGTATAAACCACCAACCATGAATTCACATCCATATTTGAAAATTTTAGGCGCTTTTTTATTTCTGTCCACACAAAAAAAATTGCTAATCCATGGTATCTTCAATTTTTTGTGCATAACTAGTTAAATTGTTATAGTATATATATATTTTTTAATGAAATCATAGTTAAAGAAAAGATAAAAAATGATGTAAGCTAAATATTTAAATATAACAAGTTATTTTATAGTCATGTTAAATAGTATAGAGCAAAAAGTTCGAATAAAAGTTTTATTTTATTGGAAAACTGGCGTAAGCTGAATTTTTTATTACAACGTTATAATGTGACAGTATTAAAAAAATGTTGAAAAGTGATTGTCATTGTTTTCAAAAAAAATGGTGTAAGCTGAGTAAAATATTAAGTTATTTGCAGCAAATAAGGTAACGTTGTTTTCTGATTGGTAATAGGGGTTTTAATGTGTGTATGTAAGTGCCTTATCTAAAGGTGATTTTGGTACTTGTTTACTTAGTACAATTCATAAATTCGTTTCATAATTTTAGACAGTAGCTGTAATGATAAAATAGTAAAAAAATTTCCCAGTTCTACAACGCCATCTGTATAGTAGTTGATGAAACCTGTAGCTGATTGACGTCATCTTTAACAACGCAGCAAGCTCAACCAGTTTTGTAAGTTTATCAATTAAAATTTATATTAACTAATGACATCAGTTTCCCCAGTAAAGCTTGTTTGTTTTGCAACTATATTTAAAACTATTTTAAAATGCCAAATTGTGGCTGCTAATCAATGTATAGTGAACCGAGATATTATTGAAAAGCAGTTATTGACTTATTTTATAATCGATAAAGGAATTGAGCGTCTTGGAGTAACTTGCTATGTTAAACTAAGGGTATTTGTAGCAACTTTCAAACTTGTTGCTACAAATAGCCTTTCTACTATTAAGAGGGTTTGTTGTATATGAAGCTTCTGTATCGCTAGTTATACTGCTTCCACTGATGGAAAAAGTAACAAAATTTACTGATTATAATAATATTTAAATAAAAAAATATTGTAGCTATATATGAAATTCAATTCAAAGTATTATAATCATTTAGGCCTCATTAGGCATTAAATATTAAATAGATCATTAGGCAATAAATAGAGTATCCGATATTAATATTAACCCAATAATTATAAGAATGCAAATGTTTGAACGCTTAAGTAACCTTTGCAAGAACAGAAAGATGATTTTTACTTTATTTAACTCAAACAGTTACGTGATAACTCGCTATAAAGTGAGTTAGAGCATTTTGGAAAAAAGTTTTATTAATTAATTTTATCATTTGCGTTTCAATAATTTATTTTAGGCAATGCCGTTCCCACTCATTTTCCAACATATCGTTAACTATATGTAGGTATTGAACTATTATTGCAACGTAAATTTGACCTAGCTGCAATATCAAAATGATTGTATTATATCATATTTTATACCTTGTCATCTTAAATATATCTTCTCTCAATTTTTAAATTGTTTCAAAAAAATAATTATCCGCTTAGTATTGAAATGTCATGTAAATAAAATTTATTATTCCTGTGATTATAAATACTATTTTTGACATTATTGTTTTTAAAATAATTGTTATTATTTTAATATTGTTAATATTGTTGTCATTGTTAATACTTTTATTTCTTTTAATTAATGCTATTTTATATTATTACAATTATATTTATTATTCTTATTATTTATAATATTGTTGTTGATGTTGTTTTTTTACTACTATTATTGTTACATTTTTGCTGTTTATACTTTACAGCTTTCAAAAGTTAGCTAAGTAACTCTTTTTGCAGATTGTCAAAATAAGAAGGTATATATTTAAAATATATATTGGTTGTTTATGATGTACTTGTAGATACAACTGATGTATCAAGAATTGCTACACCTTCATTATCGTCGCTATACTTAAAAAGTGATGAGTGGTCTGCAAGTAAGGTAATTGATGGTAATCCGTCAACTTTTGCGGCAACTGATTTTAAAGTTTCTCCGCAATGGATAAAATTGGATTTAAAATTTGTTTATCAAATAACTCAAATTGATATTTTAAACAGAGGTGGTAGTTGCTGTATAGAACGACTAAAAGGGGCAAAACTCAATGTGAAATTAACCGATACTACAGTCGATAATTATGAAATATCAACGTTGACAGCTAATTTAAAGCAAACGTTTGTAGGTTCATTTGTTGCCAGATTTGTTGTTGTAACAAAAAGTATTGACTTATTATTACATCTGGCAGAAATTAACGTTTTTGTGTAACAATTAAAATATTAGAATAACTTTATATTATATAAATACATTAACATATATGTATATATATATATATATATATATATATATATATATATATATATACATATATATATATATATATATATATATATATATATATATATATATATATATATATATATATATATATATACATATATATACATATATATATATATATATATATATATATATATATATATATATATATATATATATATATATATATACATATATATATATATATATATATATATATATATATATATATATATATATATATATATATATATATATATATATATATATATATATATATATATATATAGAAATAGAGAGAGAGAGAGAGAAAGTTGGATTGAAATATGTATGTTTATAGTTATCTTATTTACTTGCGTTTCAAAAGGATATATCTAGGAATGCTTTGTTTTTTGTTATAAAACTTTTTAATACGCTAAATATATCATATAAATATATAATACATTATAGCACTAACCAATGTTAGGAGAAAAAGGGAAAAAGAATTCGATTCCCAGCAGTTGAACGTAAAACATTGAAGTTTATCTGAACAATTTTAGATGGATAGCTCAAATAAAACTCTCACTTTTTTCTAGTTTTTTCTTTTAAATATAATATTATAAAAATGAAGCACACAGCACATTTAATTTTTCATCTAATTTAACACGCAACACCCAATTTTACGTTATATTCCAATATAAGGTTTAAGGCTAATAAACTATTCCGTTATCAAAATATTTTCAGCTCCTTGGGTGCAAATGCCCATCATCTGAGGTCTGCCTTAGATTCTTCTTAAGTATGTTTTAACAAGAGTTTCTAATATTACCCAAAGAGGTAATAAATTTTTACAAAAACCTATTATAGGTAAGACTTAATATGATAATTGTGTACAATTTTCACTATCTGTATTATACTTTGTTGTAATTCTTTGTTGTAATTCTTTGTTGTAACTCAGGTTAGGTCAGGTTTATCCTGCTACTGGTAACATGTAACCCAGTACAATCTGCTTCATGTTCTACTGCCTTGTAGGATATGCATTTTTACGCAAAGACTAGGAGATGCAAACTCCGACATAAAACACTCCCTGCCTTGCGGCTCTTGGTTGAGTAAAGGCTAGAAATGGTGTCTCGATAAAAAAACTCATCTTGAGCATATGTTAAATGCATCCGGCTGCTGTCTTGTAGAAGGCCTCTTAGGCAAAGACTTAAGGGGTAAACAGGTTCTATCTGTTGACCAGCCTTGCACTCCTTCTCCATCTATTAGGCTGGCGCAGATGTATTTTAAATACATTGTTTCCAGTTTAGGATGTTGCACGCTGGATCTTATTGACTCGATGCATGGGTTTTTTTTGTGTCTATGTTTTTATGACTAGGCAACTCATTCCATTATATTCAAATGAGGGTACAGCTCTAAAACTCAGTTTTATGGTTCTCAGGCCGGCTGGTAGTCAGGTTTCCCGAACTCTGTGGTAGCTCTCAGAGAGGCTGATTCCATCAACAGCTGAAAAATATCAGAGTACTAACAGTGCCATGTTGCGCATGGATGGTGTCCCTGTTTGTACTTTTGGTATGCATTGCCAAGACCACATTGGAGCCCTTTGTTACGGCTCAGGGTTTATTAGTGGAAATGAGGCCATTGCTTGTACTTTAAAACAGTGTGCTGAGTACTATCTATGTTTCGAGTCAAGTTCTTTAACAAATTTAAAAATAAATAAAGTAACAAAAAATATAAAACACAAAAAACCACAGTCATCACCAAGTTCGCTATCATACACCAATATTCGTGGTCTTCGAAGTAACTTTTCTTCTGTTGAGTCTTTTCTCTTGCAAAGTTCATCAGACCTACTTTCTTATTGTGAGACTAATTTGAGTTCAGCTGTCTCATATTGTGAGCTTAGTGTTGATGGTTATCTTCCTTTAATTTGTAAAGACTCCAATAGTCACATGCTTGACCTAGGCATTTACATTCGTAACAATTCACCCATTTGTCAGAAAACTAGGTTTGAATCCACAGACTACTCTTTTATGTGCTTTCGTTTAGCACTACTTTACTCTATCACCTTTCTCTTTGTTCTTTATTGCTCTCCTTCATCTCAAGACTGCACTCTTCTTGATGTTATTTCTGATTATATTGACCAAGCCCTCATTCTTTATCCATCAGCCAATATTGTTGTTGTCGGTGACTTCAATTGTTGTTCGGTGATGTTCATCACACTGAATGGCTTGGCTCTAGTGTCAGTTACACCGCAGGCATTAATGCCCACAACTTTTGCCTTTCTTAATTCCTCACTCAAATAGTCAACTATCCAACTCGCTTTCCAGGCAACCCGAATCATTTACCTTCTCTACTCGACTTATGTCTTGTTTCTAATCCTAGTCAGTGCTCAGTTTCCTTACATTCACCCATAGGTGCTTCTGATCACGGTTTGGTCTCTCTAAAACTATTATCTCATTCTTCTTTACCATGAGAATCCCCCTATCATTGTACATCTTACAACTACCTTAAAGCTGACTAAGACTCTTTCCGTGATTTTCTTGGTGATGGCCGCTGGGTAGAAATCTTTCGTCTTCCTGGTGACAAATGTGCCTCTTACAAAACTTCGTGGATTCAGGCTGGCATGGAATCCTTTATTCCCTCTCGACAATTCCAGGTCAAGCTTCACTCTTCTCCATGGTTTTCCTCACATTGTGCTGCTGCAATTGCTAATCGAAACCAATACTTCCATATCTATCAGCAAAACAATTCTCCAGAAAACAGACGTCTGTTTATTACTGCTATAAACCATTGTAAAATGGTTTTGTCTAACGCCAAAGCCTGCTATTCTTAGATCATGAAATCTCATATTTCATCATAAAAGTTAGGCTCTCGTGACTTCTGGAGAATCTTTAATAGTATCAATAATAAGGGCAAGTCTGTAATTCCACCTCTTTTGTACGATTCAGACTTTGCCACCTCACCGAAAAACAAAGCTGAATTGTTTGCCAAGAACTTTTCATCAATATTATTTCTTGATGCCACTAGTTGCGTTCTACCTGATATAGCCGTCAAACAGGTGAATCCATTGCTCGACATTCGTATCACTCCAGCTTCTGTATCTACAGTGATTTCCCGCTTAGACTATTCTACAGCTTGCGGCACGGACAACATACCTGTTATAGTCTTGCAAAAGTGTTCTCCGGAGCTGTCGTCTATCCTTTCAAAACTATTTAACAAGAGCTTATCAGAGTCTTGTTTTCCAGCCTGCTGGAAAGCAGCATCTGTTATCCTTATTTTTAAAAATTCTGGAGAGCGATCCGATTCGTCTAACTACCGTCCCATTAGTCTTCTTCCTATCATAAGCAAGGTTTTTGAATCTGTAATTAACAAACACTTAATCTCGAATCTCGATTCTCATAACCTACTTTTTGATCATCAATATGGATTTCGATTTTCTTGTTCTACGGCTGATTTGCTAACAGTAATACCCGATAGGTTTTATCGCGCATTAGATAAAGGTGGAGAGGTTAAGGCCATCGCTCTTGACATTTCTAAGGCGTTTGATAAAGTTTAGCATGCTAGTCTTCTCCATAAGCTTTCTTCTTACAGTGTATCTGGAAACATCTTTAAGATTATCGAATCATTCCTTTCCAATCGTAGTGTAAAAGTTGTCCTCGATGAACAGCACTCTTCTTCTTATTCTGTAATCTCAGGGGTTTCTCAAGGTTCAATCCTTGGCCCTATGTTCTTTATAATTTACATTAAAGATCTTCCAGATTTTCTCACATCTAAGGTGGTATTGTTCGCTGATGATACTACCATTTATTCTTGTCACGATAAGAAGCCAACTCCCTCTGATTGCTTGCAGGAAGCATCTGAGTTTGAAAAGGATCTCACTTCTGCTACAGCATAGGCCTCACAGTGGCTAGTGAACTTTAATTCAGATAAAACTCAATTTTTTTTAGCCAACCGTTATCGTAATAATTTAGACCTTCCTATATTTATGAACGGTAACGTACTCGATGAGTCTCCTACCCTACATCTTCTAGGATTAACTCTTTCTTCTGATCTTTCTTTTAAACTATATATCAAATCCATTGCAAAATTAGCATCTGCTAAGGTTGCATCTCTTTATCTAGCTCGACACTTTCTTATTCCAGATTCTTTTCTCTATCTCATAAATCTCAAATCTGTTTGAAATACTGTTGCCATATCTTGAGGGGGGGGGGGAGGGATTTTCTAATGATGCCCTTTCTCTTTTAGGCAAGGTGCAAAAACGCATTGTAAACATAGTTGGACCTACTCTTGCAGCCAACCTTTAACCTCTGTAACATCGTCGTAATGTTGCTTCTCTTTCTCTTTTCTACAAATACTATAATGGGAACGGCTCGAAAAAGCTAGCGTCTCTTGTGCCATCTACAAAAATTCATTCTTGTGTTACTCGTCATTCAATTAAGTCTCATCCTTTTTCTGTTACTGTTCCTAAGTGCTCCAAAAACTCTTACTCGTCTAGTTTTTTTCCTCAAACATAAGTTCTTTGGAATTTGCTTCCTTCATCTTGCTTTCCTGATTCATATAATTTGCAATCTTTTAAGTCGTCTTTCAATCGTTATCTTGCTCTACAATCTTCATCTTTTCTCTTCCAGTATCTTCCAACACTAATTAGTGGTTGCTTGCAGCCTTGTCTGAAGCGAAGATATTGAAAATAAAAAAATAAAAATAAAAATTTAATGCATTATTAAGTAAGGAATGTTGAGAAAGTTAAATCAATAAATATTTATGCATCATAATCTGTTTTAGAATAAAACTTTCTCCTTGTTGTTCAATTTTTTTAATTTTCAAAATGCTAAACTATGCCTATTCTGTAAAGAATAAGTTTTATTTGAAACTTCAGAAACGAGCTTTACAGCACGTATAATAGACTTGATGTGTAATGGGATGTTTTAATCAAGCAAATTTGGAACTGGTTTGCATTTAATCATATTACGAATTTCCTGACAAGATAAGCTCTTCGTAGTTGGAGGC